CATTCAACTTAGAAACAATATTCAGCCTATCCTCGAACCATTCAAAGCATGAAGTTGGATTCTTTAGTCCAGCTTCAGTCAGAAACTCCAAAAGAAACAGACAGACCAAGCCATTCACTTAGAAACAATGCTTGGTCCCAGAGATCAGCCAGGCGAACCCTCAAAAATAAACACAACAACCAGGCCATTCAGCTTAGAAACAATATGTGGTCCTTCAAAAAACAGTCAAATAAACATAGCCCTGGGGCATTCATCTTAGAAACAATGCCCAGTCCTTGGTTGACTCGGTCAAACGCATGCACACTGCCTTCCTCCCACCTTCCCCCAATTCATCCCTTAGTCTGCTTCCAGTCAAAAATAAAGAAGAAACTTAAACTTGTCACACACATTCCTTCCATTCAGTCTGATTAGATCCTGAAAATAAAGCAAAAACCATAGGGGAACACATACATACAACAGTTAAACCTAGAGGGAAATAGTCAAACAGGGAAGTAGTGGGTTCATACAGACAGAAAGAGATATACCTGATGGTTCCCTGCCTCCATAACTCCTCCCGAGTTCCGGCAGAGCTCCCGCAATCGGTGGGCAGACTCCCCACAGAGTTTTGTTGCGGTCCTACGGGTTGCAATCCCGCCTGTCGCCTTCCTCTCTTAACAGGATTAGACTTATAAGAAGGACAGAAAGAGAAAGATACAAGAGAGGGACAACTCAACTCCCAGGAGAGGGCCTTGTTGCCTTGATACGCCTAAGGGTCCCGCAATGGTAGCCAAAAACATGTTGTACAACTTGGTCAATCAGAAGTCCAACTGTCGGCTAATGATTCTCTGGTAGCTCTTCAATCTGCAACAACACTTCCCCTTCAGTAATTGCAGCTACTTCACAACACCCGCGACCTCCGGGGTAGTGGTGACTGGTAAATCTACAGGCTTGCGGCTCACTTCCGACCACTCCACTCGGCAGGTTGGGCAGCGTAGCAGCTAGCAGCCAAGTCAACGCCCTGTAGCTGGCCTGTTGCCGCTTCAATCAATAGGATGGGTAGCATTCTGCGATCACCACAGTCCTGCGCATCCACTACACTAATCGTATCAACCGCATCATTCGCTACATAGGCTAAAACAATAGACTGCTTAACCGCATCATTCGTTACATAGGCTAAAACAACAGACTGCTTAGTGGCAGAACCGCCCAGGTAACATTGTGCAAAAGGAGTTTCCTACCACCCCCTTCCCTTCGGTCAATCCGCCTGACCAAACTCTCGGCCAGACTCACACGGGTTAGATCACGACAATATCACAGTGAATCCTGGGCAGACCAGCATATTGGCCTTATGCAGCAGTGTGATTACTTCCCATGCCACTGAGGCTAAATCTTCCGCTTAGGACACTTGGGAAGATATACAGACAGAGTCTCGCCTGCTGTCAGCACACAGTACGACTTCGCAGTCCGACTCTCAGTTCTTCCGACATCCCTCGTTCCGCTTCCAAGTAGGTGCCCTCTCTTCTTTCTTCACGTGTACCCTCCACAGTACTAGTCCCCCGAACGTCCTTTGCACACTTTAGCTGAAGGAGGAGGGGCTCCCAATAATCAGAACAGCAGGTACGCATGGCAGTCTTCACGATTGTAGAGCCAAGGCACACAGCTACGGGGTTCTCGATTCCTATTCCTTTGCCTGCCGAATCCTTTACTGGAATGCAACTCGACGTTTTTCCCCAGGGTGAGCCACGCACCGGACACCAGGTAAACCACCAACCCTACCCGCACTCCTTGCGGAACTTCCACCGATAAAATGATCACAAGCCAAATGAATCTTTCGCTAAAAAGCGGAAAGACACATTTCTTATCTTGGAATTACCCCTAGGCGCAGCTCTAGATGGCCATACCGGCAAAGACCGCCACTCCTCCGTCAAGGTCCATGCCGCCATTCAGCTCGCCTCACCCCAAGACCCCTATGCACAACCTTTTTAACGCTCGATTCCACTCGGATTGGCGTGGAAGTTAGACTTCCCGTCCTTATCTCATCTCCCCGCACTCTGTCTCCGCGCACCCTTTATTCCTACTAACTTCCTACCTACTAATCCTCTTCAAAAGCCGACCTCGGATTCGTTCGCCCACCTGTAGAACCTCTACCTTAAATCGTTCCTCTACTGACTTCATCGATTTTCAGTAATACCTTTGACTTCCTATCTTCTCTATCTTCCTTGTCACCATAGCTTTGCGCACTGGATTTCTATACTAACTTGCTTCCTACTAATTATACGACCAAACTAACCCTACCACGCGTCTCGCCCGGGGTTAAAACCCCAAAGTCACCTCCTCCCTCACTCAGAACTGTCGAGGAACGGAGGAGATATACGTTTTCCCTTCTGCCATAGCCATCTCCTTCTCTACTCCACTATCTGGCTCATCTTCGAATGTACCCAGCACTGGTCCCCGTCTAAGTTCACTCCTACTATCCTCGCGTGGTTTTTACCGACTACCCGCACGCTCGGCTTTTCTCTTTCACGCTATATTAGCACAGTTCTCGATTAATCCTATCACGCCCGACTTTTTGAGGAGCTAGCTAGCGCAATACTCGATGGCGACTATAATGACTCAGTAGACCGATTAGCGGCTTCCACTATCTTTAGTGAGAAACTCTGAAAAAAAATGAAAATGACTACTTAAACGGCTTCGACCTCACCCCTTTCTCTCCAGCTCTGCCCGTCATGGTAGGTGCCGGCCTGCGCACTATCTTAGGCACTGCAGCGGACTGACTGACACAGACAGTCGGAGGCGAGTCCCGAAAAAGCGGGGTCGGCGTCGGTTGTTGAGGAGGTTCTGGCCCCTCGAAGAGCAGGAGGGCGCGGCCTACCATAAAGCCTAAAGTGTGGGCCTAGGTGGGACAAGCCCGATGCAGATCTCCGTGGTTAAAAAAAAAAAAAAAAAAAAAAAAAAAAAAAAGGGGGGGGGGGGGGGGGGGGGGGGGGGGGGGGGGGGGGTTCCACGTGACTAGCCGCTACCGCGGCCCCCACCCGGGTCAGGCATAGTCCACCAGCTCTCGGGTCCAGATGGGCACGCTCACACTCAGGCCCCACACAACAGATCGTGGTTGGCGGACGGGGCACCCGCAGAGGGTTCCCACGCTCAGGGTTCTCCCTCCTAGCGGGCTAATCACCCACTGGCTCGCATATGCGTCGGACTCCTCAGTCCGTGCTTTCAATATGGGCAAGGTCAATAAATTTTCATCAACACCCCGACACACCGGAACCCGAGCGGACTCGCCAAAAGAGGCGCATACTCGAGGTCCTCGACTGCCGCCCAAACATATCACATCCGACTTACGAGAAAACCAAAACATAAAATTAAGTAATAACGACAACAAATAATAATAACAATGTTTTAGAAGCTTTTAATCGTCAGACTATGATGACGAGGAAAAAGGAACCGCTAGTACCGTTCTAACACCGCCAACGGCAAAACCAAGGGGGATAGCCCTATCGCCCTCCTTGCTACTCTGATATTCCTGCTTCGTCGCCGCTTAGTCTTGATCCCTAGACCTTCTGGTTGGAAATCCGATACCGTAACCAATAGTGCCGAGGCCCAAGGTTGAGTCTAGCATTGACCGACACCTAAATAAGCGGGTATTGTGCGACGCGCAGATCTACCAAGACGTTTTCAAAATCACGATGTTGCCATCCCCCGCCCGTACGCGTAAGTCACAGGCAAACACACCAAACAAGAGGCAACATCTCTTTAATCCTAGCTTAATCAGAAATAAAAATTTGGCTAGCGATCACGCCGGCTCTTCAGCCATCAATAAATAAAAACACGCGCGCCTCAAGCCTGCGCGCCCACACACTCTCTACTCTAGTCGACCATCCAGTCAGCGTAAACCACAAACGCAGCCGCGCCTCGCGCGGTATACTTAACTTTTATACCAAATTTATTTTCTGTCATTTGCAAAAACCAGGGCGGATACCCTTGTAAGGGTATTCGCACCGACACCGTGTTTTTCTTTTTTTTCTTTTTCCCCCGTTTTCGCAGATGCCGCCAGCTATTTTGGTCCAGTTGCCCCCAGTCTCTGAAATTTTAGATTGAGCCAATTGTTGTTTTCAAGTTGCCTGGGGCCTTGTACTGGTGGCTTAAAGAAAAAGCCTTTTGTTTCTTTTTTTGAAAAAAGAAAGGAAGAACAGCTAGTGGAGAAACAGGACATTTGCAGAACAGCTAGTGGAGAGAGGGAGGACACTTTCCCCTGAAAGCCCCAGTACATGCCAGCTATTGGCCGCGGGCCCCTTTCAGAGGCCGCCCTCCGCTGATTCATTTTATCTACGGCGCTCGACCTCCTTAATTTTTCGGAGAGGCTCAAAACAGGTTCTCCAATTGCCTGGGGCCATGTACTGGTGGTTTAAGGGATAACCATATGGCCATGAATAGGCCTCATGAGATGGCAGCTTGTTTACTTGCGATGACTGTGGTTGGTGAAACCAGACCAGCGCACGAGGAGATCGGGCTGGATTTGGACCTCTGGCCAGGGACGTATGCAGCAGGGTTGCCACACTCTGCCAGTTCCTTCCGGTTTGTTCAGGAAATGCTAGCATCAGACCTACCTGTACACAGCAACAACCCCTCACCCATCCATTCACCGGTTCGCCTGGCCTTCATCGGGAAGATGTTTCTGTGACCAATTCATGTATTTTCCATCCGCTGGTGAATGGGATATTAGTGTGACGAGGGTTCCTATTGTGCCATATATTTGCGACCCGTTAATTTTGCATCAAGAGCAGGCTTCCCATACATGGATTCTATACCCATACGGTATGCTTTTTTGAGAACAAAAGAGAAAATTCTTCAACAATCAGATCCTTTACATGAGGATTACATATCACAGAGTGCGTAAACTGCACACACTCAACAGCACAAAGCACATGTGCACCACCTTTCTACCTCATTCTTCTCGGGAAGGGAAACGGATGGGAACGGATTCGACACTTGCAATTGACATCATGCGAGTGAGGCCTCACCTGACTGGAATTCAACTTCAGCTGGGAGATAAGTTCCTCTTCAAACCTAGCTTGAGCAGTGGTATTGCTGATAAAGCTGTCAAAGCTGCCATCCAACTTCATCCGAAGTTTGATTTTCTGAACCGGCACACACGAACACCCTTCACGGACAGTCTTTTCAGGACATCCAGTGACGTCCAGGGCTTCACAGTCTGCAAGAGCAATGTCATATTACCAAGCCGCATCAACAAAAAAAACAGTTTTTTCAGTAGATTTCTGAGTAATTGTCTGTCAGAAAAACGAAGCGTGAATGACCGACTTCCCCCGAATAGGACGTACAATCATTATGCATTTATTTGGGGTAACTTTCAGTTCAGATACAGCGATGATTGTACGTTTTATTCGGGGCAAGACGGGTAGTCCTTAGGGGCAAGAGCAGATCATCCGTCAAACAACGAGAAACGAACCAATTCTGGGAAGGAGGGATTCCAAGACAACATTTTTCGAGACACTTGACGGTCCTACAGTTTTCAGGTACATTTGGGTGATCAAGTTTTTTTTGTTGTTGTTTTGTTTTTTTTGGGTGATCAAGTTTAACTTTAACCCGGGTGAGTGTTGAAGTCCCTGTATGGGGTAAGCGTCGGCCACAGGGCTGGTACGACTGGGCCACACGTAATTTCAGACTCGTCTGCTCTGCGCAGATATCAGATCCTTTGTGAACTAACCCCACTGGGCTTTCTGGAAAACTCAGTCTGGATAAGGGGGAGCCCACGTCTGGTGTTTCCAGGGTGTCAGGAATCTGCATATGAGTCCCTGGGGTATCGATGATCTCGTCCCCCGAACCTGGAATCTGAGCAGACCGACAGTGTCAAGTTCTCTTCCTTAACACTATACCTTCTCTGCACGTATTTTGAATTCGACCTCTTAGACTACTTCGACACGCACGTTACCACATTCTTCTCTCTTTCTTTTTTTTTTTCCTTTTTTTTTTTTTTTTTTTTTCATGGCAACCATGGGACCCGGACACCGGACACTTGCAGACAACTGTCCGGTGATCCGGACATCACCGGACCCGGACAGTGCCAACCGGTGCCAGGAGGTAAAAATGTCTGGACCAAAGAAAAAAAGATGATGAAGAAGAAGGGGCGGTGGGGGACAGGTTTACTCACCGTACAACAAGAGCTGATACACTTGCTGACTCAGGACAGAACAGATAGCCCCCTACATCAACGAGGGACAGGTTTACACACCGTACAACAGGAAGAGAGAACGCAAAGAGTACCCCTGGTTCACAGTCATCAGGTTGTCTCTAGAGGAGGTACAACAGAGAAGGGTTATCACGACGAGGAATGAGGGAGGGTTTAGGGTTTTAGGATCCTAATCATCCGGTAACGGCTCAGAAGCTTTAGGGTCTAGAGGTTTGGCCAGTTGAAACAGCTTAAGACAGCGGTCTTCGGCAGATCATAACTGCTCAAGATGGACGAAGCTAGGGCTGGACAGCACCAGAGGAAACAGGGTGGAGGGTGATTGGTAGACATTAAGGGGTGTTTAGGGAAAAGGGAATTGGTATATAGGCATGGTCAGGAAATGTGGGGGTTCAGGGCATGTTGAGGGACAGGGGGGTTGGTTTTCGGGCCCTAAATGGCGGGTTTGTTGCAGCAGAACTGAGAGGAAAGGGTATAGCACGGCAAGCTGACAGTCAATCCTCCATGCGGATGGAGTGATCAATGCTGGTCAGGGGTCCTTCGGCCGTACTGCAGGAAGCGTGTGTTTGTAATTATGATGTACTACTTTATCGACTTGCCGGTGGAATAGGAACCGGACTGATGCTCCCCAGAATGGAAAAGGAGCC